CTTCATTTTGCATTCACGTAGGTACGGTACCTACTTGTTTCAATCTCGATCGGCTTAATTTTATTCTTTTCAGATAATATTGAAGAAACAGTACTCAGAACTGTACTGTATAATATAATTAATATTTATATTATATAATATGAAAAATATATCTTACGCGTTAACAAATATAATGCCAGTTATAAGTGAACAATGTTGTTACTTTATATTTATATCATATATATACAAATCTTGTATATCTAGTTGTTTATGTATATTAGTAAATTTGTCACAATTCTCGCTATTACCTCACAACGCTTTCTGATTATACCCCACGGTTAGCTGGGAGAGGATGCCGTAAGGCATTAAGCCGGCCTGTTACAAAAGTATTTTTGTTTAATAAAGAATAAATAAATAAATATTTCCAAAATAAACATTCATATTATCTACTACATCTATATCTAGTCTGACGCCTAATGAATTTAGTGGGGAGACAAAAAGTTAATTCTAGCAAATCCATATGAAGGTTCGAGTTACCAATAAAGTATGAACTAAAATTTACGATTTTCAATAATACTATAAAATATTATCTGGAAAAATCAATATTTTTATTATAAGATTGATTGTGATTTCTACCTTGTCTATGGTAGGTGTAAAATAGAACAAGGTAGAATCCATAGAGTACAAAACAGTGTACCTTTATTAAGGGATTTATATATTTACTCAGTAACTGTAAATTCTTTAGCCTTCATAGCAATAAAAAGCTTTCAACTAAAACATTTGCGTTAATTTTATATCCATTCGCGAACAAAGATGGTTGAAAGTAACTATTATTTAATCTGTGGCCGAACTGTTTTGGCGGGAAAGACATACAATATTCAGGAGAACAGACGCCATTACGACCATTAGGACAGTTCAAACACGCCTCGAGAGGCGGAGAACGGTCTGCACACATCGTCTGTTTGTCTAGTTCTTGTGTGATGCTATAATAAGATGTTTTTTATTCATCATGGTATGTATAAGTACGATAATATTCTATAGTTATTTTTTTTTCCCCATATTCGTCCATCTCCTTTTCAGTGATGGAACAGGCAAAGATCCTTAGACCGTACAGCCTAGTCTACGTTTATACTTCTTCATATTTAAACAAGTGATGAGGCCAAAGGCCAATTCTTATGTATGTTTATTCATTATGTTTTCATTCGTGTTCAAAATTTAAGTCTTATCCATAGTCCATATCCTTGTATCAATTATTTAAAGTTTTATCGATATAGAGGTAACGTATAAATATATAGGTATATATGTTTCAAAATTAGTTAGCATGTATTGGATGTCGCGCGGGATTTTTTCCGGTTTCTTGTAAATGTTCAGTAAATTATCAATAAAGACCAAGCGTTGAATATTATAAGCGGAACATTCGAAAAATAGGTGATTTAGGGTCTCACTGCTGTTATTGCACTCTTGACATGTATTTGAATTAATTATTTTCATTCGGCACTATTCTATAGTTGTTTTAAGTATTAAATATTTTTTTATTAGGTAACTGGAATAACAACGAACCAGTCGTAAATGGCAACCTGCGCCTACGCATGAACAACACTAAGAGCATTATGCTGATTATGTGACACCCGTAATACATATATTGCCAAGAGTTTTTTATATAATTAGAATAGCAAACAATCGCCATGCATTTTACTTTATAAATTGTGTTTTATTTGATTGGACAAGCAATAGTACAGGTTAAAAGACATCGCATCTCAGGAATAGCAACGTATGAGTGGTATCAACCGGTATCTCATGTTAACGTGATGTTTGTAGTAAGTACAAAATAACTAAGTCCATGTATATAGGCCATTTTTTTGTGTGTAATAGATGGACGAAGATTTTTTATTATAAATTTATTTCGTGATTATATAGTAAACCATTATTTCTCTTTAGACTTTAAATGACTATATCTTAATAATTTCTTTATATGGAATGCTGACATTTAATGCTCAAAACGCTATCCAAATAAAATCTAATCAAAATATCTTTGTTCATGTAAGTCTATTACAAACTCTTATGATATGTACTATCGTCAGTTCGGAATGTTTTCGAGACGAGAAGAACTATCAAGAAACTCAGTTCGTATTCTTTTCAAATATGATTGTACATGTTTACAATAATAGATTTATTTTTAAATTCAAATTTGGGAGAATATAGTGACCACCATATGGCATATACTGTAGCAATTTTGTCAAAGGCAAATAGTCTAGTCAGTGTTCGTAACCCGAACTGACCATCCTTGATGTGGCGGTCCTGACAGAATCGCCACATAAAGAATGGACGTTGGACTACTCCAGAGGTAAACTGCATTTTTTACCATAGATTATGGCTGATGCTCTATACACTACAAATGAATGAAAACAGAATGGTCCACCCGTATGCGTTTAGTTTTTTTTTACCACAGCCTACGTTGACGGGGCACCAATGCAGGATGACCAGATGAATATAAGATCAGGTCAGTCAGTCCATCGTGACAAATTCAACAGGAGTTTATCACGGTAGTATCCAAGGGGAACTGCGTAAAGATCAACCTGATATAGTACACTGCTATTTTTTTTTATATTGGGTTGATTGGGCTATTGTCAGATGTTTGTAGCACCTGTAGCACTGCGACCTACATAGATCTATTGTGCTCGCCCTTTTTCAAAGTTCGCTACCTAGACCCGTCAGGGACAAGAATTGAAGGATAATCTTAGGAGCTATGGTTTTTATCTCCTCGGGAAAGATAGTACACTGCTAGCTATGGGGTTATTAGTCCACATTACTAACCATCCTTTCGGTGACCGTCATCACTTACCATCAGGTGGGACGTACGCATATTTGCCATTTAAATCCTTACTAATATTATAAATGCGAAAGTAACTCTGTCTGTCTGTCTGTCTTGCTTTCACGCCAAAACTACTGAACCGATTTAAATGAAATTTGATACATAGATAGTCTAAACCCTGAGAAAGGACATAGGCTACTTTTTAACGCTAATAAATTGTAAGGGGTTGAAAAGGGAGATGAAGGGTTGTATGGAAGTATCGTCATTTTAAAAAACTAGAATTTTGAAACATTGTTTTGAGTTCAATAAATACTATAAATAAATATCACTAAGTTTGTAAAATTGTTACCCTTAAGGCGGTAAAAAATAGGGGGTGAAAGTTTGTATAAAAAAATCGTCATTTTTGAAGCTATAACGAGGAATCATTTTCTTTGCCTTTTTTGGGTTTTTAAATATTTTTTCTTTATTTGGTCAAGGTCACTATAACACGCGGACAAAGTCGCGGGCACAGCTAGTTACATATCAAAAGACATGTATATGAATAGAGGAGTGTAGCCGCTTTGCATCTGGCGGTTGTTTTCCAGTTACGTAAAAAAATCAAACGTGTGTACACAAAACCGTAATAATTCAGCACGCCTAACAAGAAGGGTTTGTTTTGTTAAGCCTTTGCTCGCATCCGCCGGACACGAAGCCAGTAAGTAAGGTCAGTTATGAATATGTAATGGAACCTTGAACCTGCCAGTTCAGGGTGTGCCCCGCTCTCTAACATTATTATTCAATATTATTTATTATTCAATATTATTTTATTACTAGCTGTTCCCGCAACTTAGTCCGCGTGATATTTAACTTTAGTTTTCAAAAATAAAAGTAGCTTAAGTTACTCCTCATTACATCAGCTACCTGCTAAAAACTGTTCCGTCAAAATTTCCATTCTGTCCAGTCATTTCAGAATTTAGCCGGAACATACAGACAGACAGTAATTGTAAAAAAAAAATATTTTGGTGTACGTATCGTATTTATATTCATATGCATGTAGTAAAAAACGATTACTTCAATATTACAAACAGACACTCCAATTTTATTTATATGTATAGATTATTTTATTATTCATTCATTCATTCATAATTTAAGAGCTGTGCTCTTTTCGGTGGAGCTCCCGCCACTCTGCACGATCTTCTATAAGTCCATTTAGCTGTTGATACGACATAACTCCAACTTTTTCTCCAACTTGCTTGATATAGCTGTGTCTCGGTCTTCCCCTTCCTCTCTGTCCATCTATTTTTCCTTCAATAATGTTATTAATTAGTTCGTCGTGTCGTATCAAGTGCTCCAACATTTCTCCCCGCCTTCTCAATAATATCTATGATCTGTCTCTTTTCTTTAACGCTTTCAGGCACCTCTTCATTCCTTATTTTATTTTTCCAGATAATTATTTCCATCCTTCTCCAAATGAAAGTCAGCGCGGGAATCTACGTTTCCAGCATTAAGCTGAGTTGTGGCCCACATTGACTCTGTATGTGTGTAATTTGTTGTTTATAATATAAAGCGGTGTGCTAAAGTGCTATACACCACCGATATCGTCATATATTGAGATACACATACGGCCTACTAGAGCAATTAAAATATCCATCGAAGTAGATTTTGGTAAAAAGTCTGTCCAAGCAGCGTGTTTGACAGGTAAAGATAAGATAAGATTGTGAATTTTTGTTTTGGTTTTTTTTTCAGGACAATTCACATAGGCCATCTAGACCTAAGTGAAGCTCGCTAAAGCTTGTGATATGGGTACTAGATAACTGATATAAAAACATATATATTTTTTCCGTAAATACATACATACTATACCTATATAGAAAACACCCAGACCGATACAAACAATCACACTCATGAATACAAATGTTATTCGAGAAATCGAACCCGCGACCGTCGGACGAAAAGCGGTATGCTAGACAGCATAAGAGGCATGATATAAAGAAGTCCTCTAGAATGGCTATGCATGAGTGTTATCATAGTCACATGATAACGTGATGTCGTAGTACTATATATAGGCAACGGTTACAGATGAGCCGTTGGTTTGTGATTCCTATCACATAAAAAATTGTATTATTGTATTCTAAAACAATATATAGACGACTGTTACAAGTGAACCGTCGCGTCGGCTTGTGATTCCAATCACATTAAAAATCTAAAGAAAAAAAGTAAAGAAACCAACCCCCTCGGCATCCTCGACCAGATGCGGCCCAAGCGAAGCAAGCGTACTCCATTTGCAAGATGGCGGCGCTCGGGATGCGCACCGCTTGTGCGCTTTGAATTTGCATAGTTCACAGGCGAGCGCGTGAGCTGTGCCCAGCGCACCGAGAGGCTCCCGGCACACATTGCAGAAAGTCGGCCGAGCGTGTGTTGCTGTGTACCTGTACATATAAAATACACACTATTACCACCGATAAGATATATACTGAGGTAGAGATATAGGTATAGAGTGGTAGATAAAAAACAAATTGTTATGACTATTCAAAAGTGCTTAAATTAAATTTATTTGAATAAATGATTTTTTATTCTATTCTATTCTACTATTACCAAAAAGTATAGTATTTCATTGCTTACGAATGATAATGGAATGGTTCACCCGCCTGCGCTAACAGTTTACGCTGGCGGGGCACTAGTGGAGGATGATAAGATGAGCATGAGGTCAGGTCAGTTATTCCGATGAATTTATCACGATGGTTACCAGGGGGTACCACGTGAAAATCAAACTGATCAACCTGTGGACTAATAACCACATACCTAGCAATACCTGTATATTGCTATTAATGTTATTAGTCCACATCACAAACATTCCCCTTCCCCCAAAAGGATAGTATTGGAATAAGTGTCATTTAGTAGTACATAACATTTCTAGTTATGCACACCATTTTTATATTTACATTATTTTAAGCTATGATGAAATATCAATGACGTCGCTCATAGCTCATTTAACAATATAATAACTTAAGACAATCTAGTCCCAAACTAAGCAGAGTTAGGGTACTAGACAACTTACATAATTACTTTTATTTGTAAATACATAGAAAAAATACCCAACTTGTTACAACCAATCATACTTATGAATAAGAATGTTTGTACGGTGCGAGGAATCGAACCCGCGAGCATCGGAAGTAAGACGATATGCTGAATCGCTAGAACGCCGAGGCCGTTTAATATTATAAAGAAAAAGGTTAATGTGACTTCTTTCTACCGTGAAGTTGCAGTAAGGCATATAAGCTGAGCTTAGTGCTAGAGCTCAGCGAGTTAAGTTAGTCACGCACAATGTAACAATCGAGAGGTTAGGTTAAATTTACAATAAAATACCAAGGGATATATTGGAATTACCCTTAAATAAATTCAAAACAAATCAAGGTAAATCATATTTACTGAGCAAAAGCAAAACTCACGAAACGATTACTTGAATGGCAATAGTTGTTCATGCACGGGATTTTCATTTAATGTTAGATATAGACACCTATATAAATATACATTGTAAATAAACTGTCTTTTAAAAAAAGGAATTTTATTGAGTTTCTTGCCAGTTCTCAATTGGATCTATATACTGAACTGGAGGGTAGGGAAAAAACTAAATTATAATGTAAAAAATTGACGTTCATAAGCGGCTAAAAGAAATAAATGAGTTTTGAATTTGAATTTGTTATTTGCAGACATCGGAATTCAATGTACATTTGTATTCTATATGTATAGAGGGTTAGCCGCAAATGGTGATATACATGTAAAGTTGAAAATTTGAAACCTTCATGCAAATAGAGCGGATAAGATCAATTTTGTGTGAGTCGGCCGCTCCATAAGTCCTTCCGCGTGTATGTAGTGCCATCTGCACTCGTTCTCTATTGTCCAGTGAAGCTGTAAAGGTCAGCTGCGGCCAACAGCATTAGAATAGTCCGAAAAAGAAATATCAATTTAATATAAAGAGTTTAAAGCATAGTTTTAGATTTCCACTTTATTTCTTAGTGATTATGGTCCAGGATCACGTGCATTATAACTGTTAAAATGTTTTCACTTTTTATAGTTATGCTTGCTATTCTTTACGACTTATGATGGTCACACACTATTCGATTCATGCGGACGATTATCCTATAGGACGCCGTTCCGATTGGCGCATTCGATTACTTCCCCGCCCTCTTTGGAAATGCGCCAATCGGAATGGACTTGCATTGGACTATCGTCCGACTGATACTAGTAATATGTGACTGCATTAACTCTGTAAAAATATAGTTCTGTGGTGGTACTTCAATCGTATGTATTTGGTAAGACAATTTTAATTAAATATAAAGCAGCCTGCCGTGTAAGCAGTATTTCAGGTGCAGATTAGGCAGTAAAATTATAGGATACTAGGCATTCCATCTTAGTCATCTGGTATGACAACGCAGGAGCGGGTATCACATGATGCGATGTCCGTAGTGCTGTTTATGTATATGCGACCGTTACCGCTTGTAAACGTAAATTGGACTCTATTCTCCGCATTTATCCTCTCAACTGGGCCGTTGTTCGTGTAGAGCCAAGACTACTAAAGCAGCCAGCCAAGCTCCTCCCAGAAGGGTAGAAGGCTCCTTGTATCTTTATAGGCTTCGCAGACAGACGGTTAACGCTTACCATAAGGCGGGCCGTAGGTTTGTTTGCTATTCCAATTATATGAAAAATAGGGTGTACCAGTGATGGTCTCCAGAGGACAGCCTGGCGACGAGGTCAGCGACGTCAGCTCCGCGGTGCAGGGCGCCCCTCAGCGCCCCGGCCCACGACTCCATTTCCCCGCGGTTTTCAGCGCACAGCACTAGACACCGGCTTGCTGTTATTATCTGTAACAACAGCATATAACATTATGCTACGCTGCTGCACCGATCCCGGCAATGTCTCGCTACAGTACACCACCAAGGAGCAGTACATTGTCGACTACATACGGACCAGGAGTAATCTCACAATGACTAATTTATAGTTCATTAGTTCTAACATAACATTGAGGGACATCCGAAATAAAAAATAAATAAATGTAATAATAAATCTTGTGTAACAAAAGAAACAAAATATTTTTTGTATAAATCTAATATAATATCATGTTTTTGGCAAAGTATGTTTGCAGTCAATTGTGGTGTTTTTGTCTTTAAATGCCAACCCGGTTCAATTATAAGAAATCATTTTTGAAGTGAAACAGTGATTTTCTATTTTAGAATAATTTCAGATGGTTAGGATCAAATTTGGTTTAATGCTTAATTCAATGTCGAGTTTTATTAAACGTAGTGTTAATTACTCTGTGAAATGAACGAATGACTGAACGAATGAATTCATTTATTAATCATCGTTCAGTCAATAATAATAATTAATCAAAGAAATAAAAGGAATCTTTTTTATACCTTCAGGTTTATTATATCCCAATCTAAATGTAGTCACGGCATCTTGCGTGAACGTCTGAACCGATGTCGCTAATCCTTTTTGTTTTGAGTTTATTTTAGTTAGGTTTTGTAGTGGAAAAAAATAAGAAATAAGGAGGGATATGTATGGTCGTTAAGTTTCCTTTAATTTTTGCCTACTATGTATAATACGTAGAGTCAATATTCATAGTTAAGACAGGACGTCTGTCCGGTCAGCTAGTGTAAATATAAATTAAGAAATTACAACTGTAATTCTACAATCATTACAGATTACATGTGAGAATTTCACAGAAGCTGCCCATGAATGCCACAGTGGTTATGACCGTTGGGATGTACTGAAGTGCTATCATTTATTCAAGTTGGAGATAACGAGGAAATAGTACTTAGACAATATTAAAAAATACATTATTATATTTTTTAATATTGTCATTGCGACCCACACATATGTTTTATCTCTAATCAGCGCAACGTTGACTGGTAGAGAATGGCAACAGGCATCAATTTTGTGTGCAAAAGCATAAATATTTTTTTTATTAATTTTATATTGACTGTTTTTCTTATTGTCTTCTTCTGTGTGCACACAGTTTATTATTATTATTTTTTTATATTCTTACATTTATTTAGGGACTTTTATCATAATATGATAATGCCAGTCCCATCGTATCGTCGTATCGTCGTCGTTTATTGTTTATTATTATTATTATAATTAATTAAATGTACAACATGTATAATAAAATTGGACATTTGCATTATACAAATGTGTGATAAATGTGATTTTATTCTTCTTATATGCATTCGACATTCTACAACATTTTCTTAGTAGCACGTCGGGGACGTGCAATCTTAATTACGGTTTTACATTTAATACAATTGGTTGCTACAAAATTTCTATTCTCATATAGAAAGTAACATATTTCAACTTATTTTTTATTATTTATAATAATATTATTAGTAATAGTAATACATAATAAGCTATCACTCATTTATAATATCAGGGTGTTCCAAGTTTGATCTTGCCACACACGCCGCAGTCTCACACACAGGAAGATCAAACTAAACGAAAGGAGTAATTTATAAATGCGCTTTTTGTTTGACAACTGACGTAATCAAGTAGATTCTTAGCTACAGTATATTTATTAGTTATGTTATTCGAGGATGACTGTGGTTAGTCAGTAAATTTATAATTACTATATTATTTTAAAATATCACAGCAACTGATTTTGTTTTTTTTTATTATAGTCAGTATTACTTTCTGCGTGGGACTGATTTTTTAAAAATTATAGTCAGTAAAATTTTCTATCCGTGTCTAGGGCGCTGGGGTCGGTGCAGCCAACGATTGTGGTAATTAAAGGCGCAATATGAATGTATATCATAAAAATATATGTCGAAACGAAACGAATATGGCAGCAGAAGGCAAGAGGAATAATCAAATAACAAAACTATAGAAACAATGACAATATTCGTATAAAAATATAAATATTTAAATATATAAATACAAATTGTCGTGTCAGCCAACGGTCCGAATGTAAGGAGTCCTGTACACTTCTAAATATACAAAGGTGACTGACATAGTGATCTATCAAGCCCAAACTACTGGACGAATCGGGCTGAAATTTGGTATGCAGGTAGATGTTATGACGTAGGCATCCGCTAAGGAAGGATTTTGATTAATTCTACCCCCAAAGGGTAAAATAGGGGATGAAAGTTTGTATAAAACTTTGTCAATATTAAATCGATCGGGCAGAGGCTTTGCATGCATAAAGCTACTATGACGTAGGCATCCCCTAAGAAAGGATTTTGATATATTCCACCCCTAAGGGGATAAATTAACGCGAGTGAAGCCGCAGGCAAAAGGTAGTTCATCTATATATTCCAGTCATAAACTACACTAAGCGTAGTTTAATGTTTTACAGTGTACCATCAAAGTTGTTATAATCCTGTTGAAGGTCTTACGGTATCTGTGCACCCCGGGGAGGTCGTATATTAACGTACTCATCATAAGTGTACGAGGTGTAATGGCACCTTTGTGTAGAAGCAGCAGGATTAGGCTGTTATATCACTTTTTATTTCTCCCGTGGCGTTTTATTTTTCATCACATTTATTATTTGTATGTATGGTACATAAAGACGAGAAAAAGGTTGCATGTCTCCTAGCTCTCTCCATATTTCTATAATAACTAATTAATCTCGATGAAAATTTGTCCATAGGAATATCGACACATTATAGATTTTAAGTTAACATTACAGATTTTAAGTAAAGATAGTTTAACTTTGTTTTTAACTGAAAATCTCGATTTTTACAAAAAACAAAACGACTATTATCTTTAGCTTATTCGTATAAACAATCAAGAAAGTATAAAGATTTAAAAAAATGTGCAAGTCATTGGAGTTTTAGTGATTTATCAGAATAACGGAAAAAATACCTTTAAATTTATTGTAATAATAGCAACGTAAATATTTACGACAAAATTTAGATTTAAAGTATTGCTATCGTGCTTAGGTGAAGGGACATGTCCTTGAATAAGGATAGAAAGGAAATGAAGAATCAACATCGTAATTTAATAGCGTGGAATTCTCTTAAGTAGAAAAAAGCATGCTATACGTGCTTAGTCTTGGTATTGCTACAGGTCACTATAATGTATTTTCCCTAAAATTTTGTCCATAATCTCCCCAAACGGCAGATATTGACAAGAAATCCCGCTCAATAAAGAACTGTATTCGGACAACCATTTTGATTTGACGCTTGTGGTTGTTTTGTTTTATATTTCGATCAACTGGCAATGTGTTTGTGAAATTGATGATTATTATTAGGCCGTCTGCTCTACAGTTTTTTGTTTTGTTTGTCTACATCGTCTTGGCTACAAAACTACTTACACACTCGGCGGTATTGGGTAACTAAAATTTTTAGGGGTGGTACCCCTACCCCTACCCTAAAAATGTAAGTTCTCAATATTCCCCAAACTTTTCCTCCCCCGATTTGCATCAGTGTTTCTGCTCATGGAACGAAAATATACTAATTTTACGAAAATTATAAATACTTTACTTACAGTAAAAACCTTATTTATAAATTGTACTTAACTGTGAAATACAATACATGCAATAGTGGTAGTTTTAATGTCAATATGGAACTTAATTCGTATTGTAGCATAGAAATAATAATAGCAACGTATACGACAACGCTATGAACTGTCGTAACACAATTTGCATGCAAATTGCAATCAAAGATCTTGTTTCAGAGCTCCCTCGCCTAATGGACAGATATTATGCATATTATGGTCCCAACATTGTACCTTGTGATACAACCTACCAATGCATAGTCTATATTAATATTATTAATGCAAAAGTGAGTCTGTCTGTCTAGAGGTTACCTTTACACGATTAAGCGGTTATTGTTAGTTGAATAAAAGGGGTGACTATAGACTTATCTTCGTATTAAGTTTTATTAAGACTAGTTTAGCGGTTTAGTCGTGAAAAGGTAACAAATAAGGACAGACGGACGCACAGACTTGCTAGTTACTCTCCTCCGTTCGATCCCCCGTCCAATTAAAACGGCGATCGAAATTACGACGGCATGAGCCGAGGTTCGAACCCTGTTACTACCAAATAACAATTTATCTATCCCGACTAGAACCCTCAGCCGCCACTGCAAATCAAACAGACACATGGGAGACTTAGGCCCGTGCTTAACAAAGATTTGGAGATTTTGCTAAGCTGAAGAGGAAACGCCACTACACATCCAATGTGGTTATCCACTCATGCATAAACTTAATATTTTCTTTAGACACACTTCTAAGGAGATAAAAATTATCGCTCCGAAGAATATTCTTCATTTTTTGTCTCTGACGGGCCTAGGTAGCGAATTCAAAATTAAGGCGAGCACTTATAGCAGGTCGCAGTGCTACAGGTCTAAACACCTAGTAATAATAGCCCAAAGGAATTAATACAAAATAACAATACTATCACAATGGTATTCAGAAAATCAAATTTTGAATTTGAATTTGAATTGACATTCGAATTAGCTATTACAAAATGTTATACCTCGTAATATAAGATGTCAAACACAATCAAAGGCTTGTCAAAATACCATTTAGTGTTTGTGTTTATATGAGATAGATAATCCAGTATTACATTATATCTTTGATGGCCTCGATGGTCTAGCTGTTTATACCCTTACTTCTGATGGACGCGGGTTCGATTCCTCGTACGGTACAAATATTTGTATTCATGAGTATGATTGTTTGTGTCTAGGTGTTTTCCATGTATTATGTATGTATTTATAAACAAAATATTATGTAATTGGTATGGCAAACAAGCTGACAGGCCACCTGATGGTAAGCGGTAACCATCTCCTATACATAAACAGCACTATCATGTCATGTTATCATACCACTCATGCGGTTCCATGAATTCATTCCAGAGGGAGAAAATGTT